GTTATGTTAGTTTTGGAAACAGCCAAAAGTCATAAAGGGCTATGTCGGGACTGTATGAAGGTTGTCGAAGCAATGCGATATTGTGTTTGCTCAAAAACTGCTGCACAAGATTGGATGAATGCGCTGGCGCATTATCATGATGGAGAAGCCAGTCACCACTTTCCCAAAAGTGCGGCCGTTTTCGTCTTACTGCATCACGCAAACGTTTTAAAATTTGAACGTAGTATTCTTTATTGATTGTCTGACCTGTTGGTGCATATTCGTGATGTACAACACCTTCACAATCAAAAAAAACAATCAACATTGACTTAACATTGATCCGACTTTGACGTGCTTTTTTTGTTCTTGGCGATTTAGAATGCTTCCACTGTGAAGATTGTTGTTTTGTTTCAGGATCATAACCATAAACCCATGATTCATCATCTGTAATAACTTTTCTAAGCACATTATCATCATTATTGACCATTTCCAGATTGTCCAGAGCGATTTCTAAGCGAATGTTCTTCTACACTGCTGTGAGCAATTTTGGGATGAACGTCGCACACACGCGTTTCATTCCTAAATTTTCGGTTAAAATTTCTGAAATGATTTTTGGTATCCCAAGGTCTTCTTCTAGTTTTCGCATCGTCATACGACGATCTTGTTCGATTGCAAGTCGCACCCGCTCAATATTATCTGCGGTTTTTGTGTTCTTAGGTCGGCCGGAATGAGAATCACTATCGACAAAAATGCGACCATCCTTGAACCGTTTATACCACTCTTTTATTCGTGTTTTGCTCATACGCTCGCTTCCGAAGGCCTTTTGCATCATTTCAATAGTTTCCGAACTCATTTTTCCGAGTTGAAAGCAAAATTTGATGCAAATTCGTTGATCTTGTTTTTCAGTCATTTTTGACAATATCAAAATCCGACAAACGCGAAAAAGGTACTGTAAACAAAGACACGCTACGCATGAACTATACGTCCGGCAGGTATCAGTAAGTAACCAATAGATTCATAAGGCTTTACTGTTGACATTTCTGTCCGGTAGGACGCTACTTTTCGGACAGACCTCGTAACCAAGCACTGTAGTAGGGGTTATAGATTGAGTGGGGGAAAAATATATAAATTTCATTGACTTATTAATCATTAATTCATTCGATTGAGCATATTAATCATGGCACGTTGTCTACCTTTTATACAGTAAGAAAAAAATTCAATACATACTCTAACTCTTGATTTCATAAAAAAAGACTAATTTTTTCCGCTATTTCATTGTAGATTCGCTATGGAAATTCTCGTTGACGTACAAGCTTTCAAGTTAAATGATGAACCTGTGTTCAAAGAGCTTGCAGTCATCAATCTCAACAGTGACCATTTGACACCATCTCATTTTATTTTTTCACCACCATGTCCTTGGGAAGATCTTCCCAGTCATTCAAAAAGAGAGAACTCCTGGCTCATGCAAAACTTCCATGGAATCGATTGGAATGCAAGCAATATACCGTACGACCAACATCCTCAAATAATAGAGAACTTAGGTCGTTCAGCTTCTGACGATGATTCAGTCAGAATCTATGTTAAGGGACGGCAGAAGGTAGAGTGGCTCTCGCGATACGTGGCTCACGTATTTGATTTAAAGGAAATGGGTTGTCCTTCTTTACACGAACCAGGATTTCGAAGACCCGTTGTCTGTTCTTATCAACCTGGTTGGTCAGAAAATTGTGTACTTAAAAATGTGATGGCACTCAAAAGATGGCTAAAACCTTCTTTTCATTTACAACATATGCCGTCAGACACTGATGATAAGGAAAAACAAGTCTTGTCATCGCAGAGTAACATTTCTGACGACGACGACGATTATGCTTATATTGATGAAGAATATTATACATCAGAAAGTATAGTAGTTCAGTGACTTTAGCATCCAATAGTGACGACGAAATATATATTGATGTGATGGATAGATTATCTTTACAGAATGAAGAGGAAGGGTATGACACCGTGAACTAGGAGTGGGGACAAGGTTACATACGCAGCATCGATAAGGTGAGCATTCATTCAGTTTTCTACATCGTGTGTAGTATCAAGCATAATTATATTTATTCAATATTAAAAAGAATATGTATGTAAAAATTTTGACTTTATAACTACAATACTTAAATATTCAATACGTTATTTTGTAATAATATAACATACGTTTTCTCTTCCTTTGATCGGTTCACAGATCCAACACCATGGACTCTATCAACCTAGTTGCAAAAACTCCAAGCTTTTTACCCACAAAAAAACTTAAAGATTTGGAGCAAAATATTCTCTACGCTATCACCGGCATGAAAAAAGTAAACACTAAATATGGTGTGAAGATCGTTCTAGAATTGGATACATCATTTGATATTTTTCTTCCCAATAAAGTCAACGAACTTATCGTCCAGAACGACTCTTCATATGAGAATTTTAAGAAAGAAGTGACAGAGCGGGATATAAAATTAAAATCTCTCGGTGGATATTTGAGAATTGAAATTTGATAATAAAAACTCTTTTATACTTACACAGAACTACATATTTTTTCATTCATTTTGACTCAGATCATGAAACTTCCACCTATACTTTCTACTCAATCACAATCAATCAACATAAAGCAAACATTTTTTTTTATTTTGGCATGGAACAAGGGGCATGGGATCGGGGGAATGCACGCCGATAATACAAGAGTCGGTAACTGCCGGCTGGAGGCATGTGATCTGCACGTCGATACAGGAATCGGTAATTGCCGGTGGGGCCCATGGGGTCTGCACGTCGGTTCACAGTCGATCGCAAACGCTTTCAGTCAAGCAGGTCGATAAACATCTGTCGATAAAGTAGCTCACAGATCGCCACTATGAGGATTTATAACGTTACCGATCGTCGGTAGAGTAGGCATCGAAAAATCGCATGATAAGTGGCTCAGGATCCCCTTAGCCCCTACTACTCTCGATTTATGAAAATAAGTCAAAATTATAGCGAATAAATTTATAAAGATTTAAAGCTTAATAATAAAAAAAATCAAAATTGAAGCATATAATAATAAAAATAAAAGAATTCTATAACAATTAAAATTAACACGCTTATTTAATTGTAGAATATTGGAAAGGTGCTAAATTTATTTCATAAATGAGATGAAATATTCACAATGACTTTGTAGAACGTGTACTATAAATTTTTGAACGTAAATTTATTTATTTTAAGTACTTAAATTATTTTAAGTACTGCGAACTTATCTGGGACGGTACGGAGATTTTGACATGTCAATAAACTATGTAATATTCATTCACTAGTTAAGACTTAGAATTATTTATTTTTGAAATCGCAAATCTTCACTTTGAAATATTAGAACATTCTCACACTGTATTTATCATGAAATTATAACGAATCGTTTGTATATTCGTTATGTCTCTCTCTCCCCAAGAAGCCAGTAACTAATATATTTAATAATCATTATAAATTACCATATTGTTTGAATAGTTACAGCATTACGGACGTCAGCGAACTGGTAAGCGACGCGACTTGCGTACGATAATCGATATCGACTCGCGGCGCGGACCTCGCGGAGAGACGCTTGCGAGGAGAGAGAGAGAGTTTCGAAAATTGATATAGTCCGCTTTCGACGATCGACGGGTTAACGTTCCTCGCGCGAGTCGTCAGGAGCATTCTTCGACTTCCTTCTGGCGAGCCGAGGCCTACCGCGGACATCCAGCTTTACACGCGCCTACGTACGCTGCATACAAAAGAAGAGAGGCGTTATTGCGAGTCAGCCAACCAGCGGAACCGAATACGCAGCAGAAGCGAGCCCGCTATCGTGTGCCCTCGGTTTGCGGGTTAGAGTACAAGCGGCTATACTGTAAGTACCAGTTCTAGTACCTGGCTTCTCTCTCTATACCGCTTTCTCCCTTTTTGCGTTAACTAAGCCGCGCGTTTACGCTCGCCTTTTCTTTTGTACACGTTGCGCCGCGGCCACGGTTGGTACCGGCAATTTCTCTCTCTCCGCGAACGTGCTGTCGCTTCTATATATTCGTCGTACCTGAAACGAATAAGTGCGGTTTGCCGTTCGCGGACACCCGGCTCCTGCGAGGCGATTTCGCTGTTACTTGCTTCGACGAGGTTAAGCGCTGTCGCTTCCTCGTTCGAACGGTGCGCGCCGGTTCGCTGTCGCCATTGTGCACAGCTCACAACAGAGCGAGTGCTTGCGCGACCTTAACCGCGTAGCGCGTGTGCAGTTCCGTTCGCTTCACCGTCAAACTATTGCGAGTTGTGCGTTGCGATTAACATTGTTTATATCGATGCGTTTCGATTCTATGTATTCCTTTGTTGCTAATTAAAATTTATACGCCTCTACTTTTAATTATATTCGAGTGCTTATTGTCCGCCGACTCCCTGTTCCTTGAATTGCAATTGTGTATGCGACTGTACACGCGCGAATCTCTCTCTTTGGCCGTCGCGCATCTTCACGCGTAGCCTACGACACTCTCCGCGGGCCAAGCTTTCTGACCGAAAAGGAGGCAACTGAGCTGCTGGACCCAGGACACCCGGTGCAGGAGCACCGTGCTGCTCTGGAGAGCAACCTAATTTATTTCCCGCGACTTATATATTATATAACTGTTCCTGTCCAGGCGAAGCTGAGCAGAAACCCCGTTATAAAATATGTAAACTGATAATCGTATTGTAATGTTTTTAAAGTTTTGACAGGTTCTTGATACGATCTATTTTATTTTCCCGACATTTCTAAAATATCTACGTTACTTTTACAATATTTAATACCCCTGAATATATTTTAAACGTTTTTATAAATTTCTATGATTTATATTCAAATTAGAACAATTTAAATTTCCACTTGCTGATTACCTTAAAATGTTTGATTGTTATAAATATTTACATATATTTACATAAAATATTTCCAATTTTGAATAAATAGTATGTGAATTCGTTTACGACTAGGTTTATCACTAGGTTTTATGAATGTATTATTTATGTTTTTTATCTTTCAGGGGGAGGAAGGATTAATGGATTACAAGATGCTGTCCGTGATTCAATCATATCAGTTTGCAGTTTTTGTGGAAATAATGGAGCAAATATAAAATGTTTAAAAAAAGGTTGCAAATTTATAGTACATTATTGTTGTGCCATAAATTCTGCATGGCACTTGAATGTAAAGGATTTCATTTCAAAATGTAATATTCACAAGTAAATATAATTTAGTAAAAGAAATGTGTAATTTATATGATTTATTAGTTATTTACCTATACTCATTTAACGAATATGTAAGGTACCTATTTTATATGTTGTGGAAAAACTTTTATATTTTTGTTTTTTTGCCACTATTTTGATTACAAGCATATGTTTAATGACTTCTTGTTATATTTCATATGTTCAGCTTAAAGTTAATATTTTCTTTTGCTGAGAGTTGTCACGAGCATATCTTTACAAAATGCACTATAATATATCATGCTGCAACTAAAATACGGTGTACAAATAACATAACAAATTCGGAAGTGATAAAATACCAAATTAGTGGTATAATAAAGTACTATCAGAATACATGCGAAAGATTTGCAAGTATGAAAAAATAGTTGAAAAATCACTGATTGTGAGTATTGCGGCTACGATACAGTAAAGAAATGACACTAATGGTAAAAAAAATATGAATCATTATTAGGTCCTAGCAATCGAACGAGGCATTGATAAAAGTTACGTGCGCTTGTCTATCCTACCAATTTCTGATGGCAAATGCGATCCTACTAGTCGGATTGTGTCTAATTAACACAACTTAAATCTACCAACACAAGCTTCATTTGTATCTCTTAACGTAAAATAGTAGTATTTGGAGAATTAATTACGCAACAAAACCAGCATCTCTGTCTTTCTTTCTAGTGAATGATATGTAAATAAGCTACATAACTGCATAACTAGAATTGGTGTACGTAAACATAAAACTAATACGTATAAATATAACACTTTTGTTAAGAAATATAACTTTTTTATTTAAGTAATTATATCACCTCAATCTTACCAATATATACTCTCTCTGTACTTTAAAAAATCAGCTTATTGGAATAAAGACAAATAATAAACGAGCGGACCGGTGAGCGACGAATTTGAATATATCAACACCTCTAATCGTGGGAAAGAATCCATTTAACATCCCATAAAGCAATGTGAAACGCAATATTGCATACGATTTTTAACACCGTACACGAACTTTCACCGTTAGATGTAAAGTGAATTTCGAAATAAGAGAAAAATTGAAAGATTAGGCAACATTATCATTCTGGCGGCGACCCTTGCATCTAGACATCCTTGATGACATATATCGTCATTCGCCAGTAGATTTATTCTACATCGTATGCTTCGCCTCGTAGAGATGGTACGACCATCAGATCATCATAGCTCTTAAACATTATCGAGGACGTATCGGTATTATTAGATAATGTCTATCATTATTTCTTTTACCTCGTAGGCAACCATTTAAATCTAACCGAGTGAGCAGTGGAAAGCAAAGCATATTATCGGTTGTATTAAGTAAAATGTAAAATTATGTATCTTCTATTGCAATTCAATATTAATAATGAATCTTCTATGTTAATTCCGCTAAAATTATCCAATTAAACAGTTATATACTATAAATATAATTAATAAAATTATAAATATATTAAAAATTGCAACGGTAGTCGATTCAATTAATCGAACCGTTCGCGATTCTGAATTTCGCGCGTTAGTTCTAAGAATTGAGAGAGAGAGGGGGCGCGCGATCTTTAAAATTGGCAGTTACGTCTCAGCTGTTGATACGTGTGGATACCGCCGAATTTTGTTTGCACTGTTTTCTCGCCGAGTGATAGTTTTACCAGGAGTAATTACACGCGCGAGTGCAACAACGTGATCGGCAGATTACAGCATCACGGGAGTAGCATTTGCAGCATTTGCAGCTGATAGGCGGCACGAGACAGCGCAGCTGAGATAACAGTTCCGGAGGCAGTTGATACATTTTATTGGCATCAACAATTACGGCTGATCACCGTAATTGCACCACAGGGTAGGTGCACCTCCCTTTATTATCGCGTGTCAAAATATATTTATTATTTTGTTTAGCCGCGTTAGCGTTAATAATTTTGTATTCGCGCCGAGCGTTAGATCGCGCCAAATTTCGTATCTTCTCTCTCTCTCTCTCTCTTTCCCACGGAAAATTATTTGATTGTAAATCCTATTCGCGTGCGTCAGTCTTTCGGCCCGACAAAGACTGTATAGATTTTTGAATAAACTTTGTTAAACTTATTCGCCGATTTCGCCATATGATTTTCCTAATAGTTTAAGAAATTGGAATAGGCTTAGGTGTTAATCCTATTACGTCTAGGGGATTAAGCGGAGAAGGAGTAAAGTCGCTCACACGTCAAACTCATCATGTGTCACAAAGCACGTGACTTAAGGTGAGTTCAACTCTGCTTGATTGAGGACAATCAAATTAAATCAGCTGACGTTAAGGCGAATACACGTACTAACATACGTGTTAACGGAGCGGCGGTTTGCTCTGCATCGTGGGAGTTTGCTCTTATATAAATTTCCCATTTTTGCAGGTTTATCCCCCCGTTACAAAATATATATTAAAAATTATAAATGTAATTATAAATATATTAATAAAATAAAAATTTCTTAGAAACAACCAGGAACTTATCTGTTGAAATAATAAGACAAATAGTGATATTGAACTTGGAATATTGTAAATAATTACTATCAGCGGCATGATACGGAAAAGATTGCATCTTGTTACAGTTGCGGGCAAAAGTGTCGGCCAAAGTTGTTTTTATGTTTTGATCATGTATAAATGATGCAAAGTAGCAACACAAACATATCTTAGTAAAGTACTTTTATTATGCATTCCAATCATGTTGTCCAACAATTTGTTATAATGCTTAACAAAATTTTATATCGATAATAGAAAATATGGCTTATTCATAAGTATCCGGCCAACTATTACGTAGATACAATTCGCGTGGCTTTGTTTACATTATCGGTCACAAAGGTATGTAAACGCTGGAACTGTCTATCAGTTATTCTCTGACATCAGTATCAATCGGTAAACATGCCGAAACGCACGTCTGGAGATATTCGATATAAGTCGTAATTAAATTACACAATGAAGGAAAGGTTTCTTGTGATATATCTAAAATTCTAGGCATAGGAAAATCGACTGTGAATGATATAATTATTAGATTCCACAGCACTAACACTCTGAAAGATAAAAAAAGTTCTGGGAGACCAAGAAAAACCACTAACCATGTTGACAAATTGATCAAAAGAAAAGCTGTCGTAGATGTTAAAAAGAATGCTGCCATTATTGCACGCGAATTACGCGAAGAAAATGTAGCAGACGTCAGTCGTAGTACTGTATCACGTAGACTGAGAGAAGTGGGACTTGTTGGACGTGTTGGTGTGAAATAACCACTCATTAGTAAGAAAAACAAGAAGGCCAGACTAGAATTTGCTAAAAAATATGAAAGCTATACATACTGTTGAGGACTAGAAAAAAGTGCTGTTTTCGGATGAAACTAAAATCAATCTATTTGGGAATGATGGTAGAAGGTATGTGCAGCGACCGGTAGGTAGTAGATATGATTCAAGATACCAAATACCGACTGTGAAGCATGGTGGAGGTAGCATAATGCTATGGGGTGCATTTTCATGGAAAGGCGTCAGTTCAATCTTCAAAATAGAAGGCAATATGGACTCTGTCATGTACAATAATATTATATTGGAGCAAATGCTACCTTATGCTCGACAAAATATGCCCAGAGGATGGATATTTCAGCAGGATAATGATCCAAAATACAGGTCACACCTCCTTCAACAAGTTTTTGGTAAGAAAAAAATTCGAGTTTTACAGTGGCCGAGTCAGTCTCCAGACTTAAATCCTATTGAACACTTATGGCAAGAGCTAAAAATGAGATTAGGAAATCAAAACTATGCTAATGAAGCCTCCCTATGGCAAAAAGTGCAAGAAGAGTGGAACAATATCTCTCATGATAGGATCGTGACACTTATTGAATCGATGCCTCACCGATGTGCTGCCGTGATAGCTTCTATGGGTATGGCTACGAAGTTCTGATGACTGTGTTACATTTAAAACCATTTCTAGTTTGTTTTGTTTCATGTTACTATATTTTTTCTACTTGTAATTGCCACATTCATAGTTGGCCGGATATTTATGAATAAGCCATAATTGTTATTATCGATATTAAATTTTGTTGATTGTTAAAATGAATTGTTAAATTACATGTTTTGAGTATATAATAAAAGTACATTACGATGATGTATTTGTGTTGCCTCTTTGCACCTTTTGTACATTATTAAAACATAAAAACAACTTTGGCCGGACACTTTTGCCCGCAACTGTATACTAAATTTTTATTCTTACATGAAATAATATTAAATATTACAATTGCAATATTTAACTAATTGATATGTTTTATATTGACTCAAAAACTTTTTTATCGAGACAGTAATCGACCGAAATCAAATTAATAGGTTTTGTGTTCAATATCAATTTGAATTCACACCTTCTTGAATTGTATACACTGAATTTATATTACATTGTAGTTGTGTATCGTTGAATTATTGTTGAGAATTGACTTGTAAATTATTACTTTGGAATTAAATAAATGTCCTGTTAATCATCAATTATCGAGTTCGCGCGTACATTTATTATTGATTTTGACGACCATAGTAAAGAATTAAACATTATCGAATAAGTAGCTGAGTCAGAAAAACTGAAAATCAGAAAAAAATATAACAGTAAAGTAGTAAAATAAATATAAACTAACCAGGCAAGTTCTGTCACTGAGCGTGTAAGCAACTAAAAAACAATATGACGAAGGGTGAAATATGATAAATTATTTAATACCGTTGAAGACTGATCATCTCTCGTTGCAAGGTTAACCGTCGCCCCGATTCGCTTTTGGTATACTTGTTACTATTGCGTATACTTTTCGCACGACTAAAACGAGCGGGAAGATACAAATTAAGGCTAAAGACGAATTAATTACAATTATGGCTTCTTTGTAACAGACGCTTTGTATTCGAGCCGAAGCAATGAACTATTGGACGTTTCACACTTAGAAAATAGCAAATCTCGAAATGACGTCACGCGCGAAAAGTCAAATTAGATCAAAATAATTGGTGAAAGACCGCTCAAGTTTCCGACAACCTCT